GTGTGTGTGTGTGTGTGTGTGCGTGTGTGTGTGTGTGTGTGTGTGTGTGTGTGTGTGTGTGTGAGGAAGATTTGCTATTTCTAACCAACCTGTAGGCACAGAGAAATGGGGTCACACACCAACACTGTGACATGTTTCCCTCTGAACAACATCAGGTGACGGAGGAATGTGGAAATGTCAGAAAATCAGACCAGTTGTCAGCACATCTGGAATATCAGACAATTTAATATTTCAGCAAAATCAGATGATCTCAGAGGCATTCTTCTTTGAAAAATTCAAGATGGCTGCCATGGTCAAGGAAAATGTTTTCTTGCACTAAAATAATATTTATTGTTGTTCACTTTAACACATCCTGAATGTCACCATTAGTAGTAAGTATTTTACAGGTAATTACTTTTTGTATAAAATCTTACATAACTGGATTCATAAAAATCATATTTACTGATAATTATTTGGCTTTCAAGATGGCCGCCATACATGTCATGAAAAATAGATTTTTGCACTTAAGTAGATAAACATGTTTGGAGTCAAATCATAGTCTACATATGGGATCAAAAGTTCATACAAGTCATAAAAATAGGAAACATTTTATTGGTTTCAAAGGCTCAAGTTGGGCGTCCATTTTGAAATTCAAGTGACTAATGGGAAGATGACAAACTTGAGGGGTGAGAATACATATTTTTATGCTTGTATCCATACTTTAAATATTTTTTCAGTAAAGCAACAGTGTTATCACAGAGACAAAGTTTCAGGAGCCTCTTCCAGCTCTGAGTCCTCCATTACTCCTCCATAAGTTAATTACGGTAATTAAACTCCACGGCTAAACTCTTCCATGTACAGAGAAGAAGCTCCAGGGAGAAGATGAGCATTAAAAACAGACACATTGCACCTGGACTGGATGTAAAACACAAGTCCAAACATCTGTGAAATGCTCTTGATGTTAATGAATTGACTTTTAATTGGATCTGAAGTGTCCCAGACGGTCCTGCAGTTAAAGTGGTACATGTAATTAAACACTTAAAGCCCATTATGTGGGCTGTAATTACGTCTTTAATGGGAACAAAAGCAGAAAATGGAGCTACGGCCTGGAGAATGAAGACGCTCCAGCTGTTATCAGTTTCACGTCAGAAACGGAAGATGACCGACACTGCCAGATTTTAAAGTAAAAATAAAAGATACTGAGGTGTAAACAGCATTTTATGCTAACTAATAAAATACATCAAGATTCATGAAAGTGACACAACCAGTTAAATCTTGTCCACTGATTTGATTTGTTTGTTTTCAAATCAAATCAAATCAGAAATACATTGTTCATTAAAAAGCTGTGGATTGTGATGGATCTCTCGTAGCAGTCAGTCTTGCAACGACTCTGAAGACGCCTCTGACTGAAGACTGTTACTCTACGACAGTCGCATGACTGTCCTGACATGCCAACAGCTCCATTTCCAGGCAGGAGAGGAAACATCTCCCAGCAACATGTCCTGAATGACACCGTCATCAAACAATGCTAATCCACCTCATTTGCTTTTGCTGCTCCTTCCTTGGTCACTTCCTGGTCCAGTGGTTAGAAAGACGAGCGGAGAAACGGATTCTGGGACATGATTCCTGCCCGTCATGATTCACGCTCCTCTGGGATTTTGGGTTTGTAGTTCAGGAAATATTTGAGTTGTTGACATTCTAGTCAGCTGCCCTGTTGTTTAAAAACAAACAAAAAAACCCGATAAGTTGTTGCTGTGGTTACGCATCCTAGTTTGCAAACTAAATATTGTGCATGTAAACTAAAAATTTAGTATGAAAGCTAAATATTTAGCTAGTTAGGAAACCAGAAAGCTAAATATATAGTTTCCTAACTAGATGTTTAGCTTCCTAACTAAATATGTAATTTGAAAACTAAATATTTAGCCTTCAAATTAATAATTAGTTAAGAAGTAACTAAGAAATATTAAATATTAAGTCACCAAACTAAATATTTTAAGAACTAAATATTAATTTGGTAGCTAAATATTTACTTTGCAAACTAAATATTAATATTTTTAACTAAAGATTTGTTTGAAAGCTAAATATTTAGTTTGTAAGCTAGCAAAATATTTAACTTCCTAACTAAATATTTGATGTGGAAGCTGAATATTTAGTTTGCAAACTACTAATTAAATATTTAATTTGAAAACTAAATACTTAGTTTGTGAATTAAACATTTATGAATAACATGACTTTGAAAATGAACATCCACATTTTTACATGTGCATCTCCATCTTTGCAGGAAGATCTGAAACATTTAAGCCAAATCTGAAACACCTTTCTGACGTCACACAGCATGGGGGTCAAACTCTGCGCTTTAATTTGAAAGGTATCGCGGAAAGGAAACACCTTGCCTTGCCCACCTTGACTTCGTCACATTGACCCAGTTTCATCCAAAAGCGCTCGCGCTGCTTGCTGGTTTGAATGAGCGGCGCGCGCGGCTCCTCGAGCGCACCTTGCCACTCGCCTCTTGTGCGCCTCACTATGCTGGAAACCAAGTTTGCGTCCCCGCGATGAATCCGGCCAACGAAACCGAGGGAAGCGCTGACAGATACCTGTTCGCGGATGGAACCTACAAACTTCTGGCGGTCGCCATCGGAACCATCGGAGTGTTCGGGTTCTGCAACAACGTGGCGGTGATTTTACTCTACTGCAGGTTCAAGAGGCTCCGCACGCCCACCAATCTGCTGCTGGTCAACATAAGTTTGAGTGATTTTCTGGTGTCGGTCGTCGGGATAAACTTCACGTTTGCGTCGTGCGTCAAAGGCAGGTGGATCTGGAGCCAGGCGACATGCGTCTGGGACGGATTCAGCAACAGCCTGTTCGGTGAGAAAACACATCCGATCCATGAGAAAATGTTTTCTTTAAAAGCGCTTATTATTATTATTATTATTATTATTGATCAAGTAATGTCATTAAAACACAGTTTATATGAATAAAATTAAAACCTTACAATATGGCAGCATTGACAAGATATTGATTATACTCCTAATCAGTAGACGGATACTTTATTTCAGAGTCAAAGATTACTCACATCCAAACCATCCAAAATAGTACATGCATAATATATAAAGTTTAATTGACTAAAATGTATTACAAGACAATGTTTATCGTCTTATTTACAAAAGAATTTGATTATTTCTTTATTATATAAAAAGGTTTGTAAAGCTTTTTTTTATTAAAACAGAGCTACATTTTTATTATTACTATATGATCACTGCATCATGCAGATTTTCATTGAATTGTTAGTGTTTTTAATGCATTTCTAATAGTGTACGAAAGAGGCTGAAGATGCTTTTTTAATTAAAATTGAGCATTGCATCATGTTAGTTGTAACAAAAATGAGTTGAATTATTTGTTCATTTGAATTAATGTCTAATACTGTATAAAAAGGTTTAGAAACACTTGGAAAGCTGATCTAAATGTTTTACTTTTTGCCTCTTATTTGGAAAGCTGCATGTTTTTGAACTGTAGAGGTCACTGCATCGTGCAGATCTAATATTTACTGTCTTAATAAAAATGAATTGAATTGTTTATTTATACTTTATAACGTATAATAATGTATAAAAGGCTCAATAAAAGACCTTGAAAGCTTATTTGGTTAAAACTGAGCATCCAGGAACCTGAATGTGTTGCCTTATCAGGAAAAGCTGCTGGTTTTTGTACTATAAGGGTCATCGCATCGTGCAGATGCGTCTCCTGACATCTTGTTGGGATGACACACATTCCCACTCATTTCCATAAGCAGAGCTGTATTTAATAATGAAGTGTGAACAGGCACTTTTTGGCTCCCGCCACCGTTCGACCCACAGCCCCAGAGGAGGGCTGAGTGATAATGAGCTCATTAGAAAAACCCTTACAGCCTTTTTTTTTGTTTTTTGTTGCTTTTTCATCGTTGGAGTGCTGGACAGTTGCCCTCCACTCCTGTCATCCTGCCGTCCTTTAGCTGACATTGCATTGTGAGCCTGCAGGATGTGAGGAACACGTCTGCCTGCCTCTGTCAGCGCGCAGTACTGCAGCAACGCCTTTGGTTTTTGTTGTTTTTATCTTTCATGTTTGCATTTCAAACATGTCACAGGAGACGTTGCAGATCAAAAAGATGGAAAGTGGATGCGATTCTCGTACTGTACATCTTATTTCACCAGCAGGATGTGGCAATCTGCTCTGGCCTACATTCACAGAATGAAGCAAACCTGGAAGATAATGAAAGTTTAAGCTAAATTAATGAGTGTTCACTCATAAATTAGATGAAAATGATCTTTTCTTAACGTCTTACGATCCAAGGTCACACAGATTAAAGAGCTGCAAGAAAAGATGAGGTAATGATGGTTCATCTTAAAAAAACTACATGTTTATAAAAGCTCTGATTTCTTTATGTTTTTCTGAATTCCTTGTTTTGTAATCTAGATTTTATTCTTGACTAAAGGGTGTCGAATGATGTTTTTATTTTAAAAAATGGAAGTTATATACTTTACAGTAGGACTGAAGTGATTAATCGATTAGTGAAATAATCATCAATGATGGTCAGAATGTATCACTCTGATGGGTTTCATTTGTTAAGTGTTTTGGGATTCAGTAGACTTTTTACTAAAGCTGAGCTATTTTACTTAAAAAGCAGACAGATTTTAAAAAATCCAAGAGTTTTTCAGTCAGTTTTGAAACACTAACGTAGATAAACGACTGTTTACAAGATGAAAATCTACTTTCAATTAGGACTGAAACAATTAATCGTGACTAGTCCCGACTAGTCACGATTAATCATTCCATAATCATCAATTAGTTGAGAATTATGTCAAAACTGTACAAAAAATGTACAAATTTTTCATTTAAGATTAAGTTTTAGCTTCATCTGGTTCATTTTCTGTTAAAAAAAATCACCTTTTGCTACCCAGTTATTAATAGTTTCAGCCAAAGTATAAATCAAAAGATTAGCTCTGCACTCTATTGATGCTGAATTAAGCAGAAAAGGCTGAACTTACCACATTCTAGAAGCATTGATCAAGCGTTTACTAAAGCAATGTTGTTGTATTTTAGACAATGAAATGTTTATTTTCTTATTTAAAAAGGATTTTTCATTTGCATCTTTCTAATATTCTCTGTAAAAAAGGCTGAAATGCAAAATCTTCAGAATTTTCCGATTCTTTTATCCGATTAATTGTCAGTATATACGATTAATCAATTACTGAAATAATCGTTAGTTGCAGCGATGTTTTAAAGTTGCCCCACGGCTTTCAGATGTGCTTCTTTTAAAAGTTGGAACGATCTGATGACAATAAAAGCTGCTGCACTGACAGAAACAAGCTCTCCACTGTTACTCTCTGCTACGCTTCAGCTAGCTTAGCCTGTGAAATTTGACTTTGATATTTAACACCTTCTGTCTCTTTAAAACGGCGCCTTCTGTAAGTAATTACAACATGGCTCCTCTATTAACCCTTTAACAACGTTTTTTATCAGAGTTTTTTGAGAAGTAGCTCCTATTATGAGCTCAGCAGATGCACAGTTCTACCAGGTGTTTGCTAATTGCTGCTGGCTAGTCTGAAGGAGCTGAGTGGGGAAGTTGCAGAAGCTCGTTAGCTCAAAATCATGAACGCTCTTAAAGGGCCGGCAGCTGTGCCAGATTGTGTTGTTAAAACCAGATTTGGCCCCCGAACCTCAAGTTTGATGACGACTGTGATGAAGGCAAAGAGACGCTGAGTCGCCGCTCTCTCTCCTCCCAGGCATCGTCTCCATCATGACTCTGGCGGCTCTGGCGTATGAGCGCTACATCCGGGTGGTGCACGCCCAGGTGGTGGACTTCCCCTGGGCGTGGCGGGCCATCGCCCACATCTGGCTGTACTCGCTGGCCTGGACCGGGGCGCCTCTGCTGGGCTGGAACCGCTACACGCTAGAGATCCACCAGCTGGGCTGCTCCCTGGACTGGGCATCCAAAGACCCAAACGACGCCTCCTTCATCCTCTTCTTCCTCTTCGCGTGTTTCTTCGTGCCCGTTGGCATCATGGTCTACTGCTATGGCAACATCCTCTACACAGTGAGAATGGTAAGGCTGCGGATGTATGTTTTTGTTGTTTTACAAAAACCTTTTGCTCTGCTGGAATAAATTCTTCCTGCAGGTGACATTTCAACCATATTAAATTCATCATTTTGAAATGGCAGATCCACCGTTGGCTCTCTAAAGCTGACATTTCAAAGCTTTTCTGCTCTAATCCCAACAAATTGACAATAAAGTCTGGCTCCTCAATATTTTCTAGCACTTAAACCACACAAAAAAATAAAAAGCCTAAAGACAGCAAGCTAACTCACAATTCTGAGTAGCAAAGACCGTTAAATACCTGAAATATTTACATCCCGACTCATTTGATCACTTTAATTAATATAGAAACGGAAATTTTCCAAAAATTCAATCTTCAAAAACCAAAATGTTTGATTAATTGATAAAGTTAATCATCACCCACTGCCAGTTTAAACGTTGTGATAAGGACTTCATCATCATAGCAACACTGGATGCAGTGTTGCATTAAAGCAGGTTTCATTCTGCCACTGTAACAATGTTATCTGATAATAATGCACCGAGTTGGCAGAGCAGACAGCAGGAGAGATCCGAACTGAAATGGTCATTAAGCTCACAGCGAGCAGAAGCAGAAAGAAAAGAATCCCAAACATCCAAACGGCAGGTGTGACGCTTTAAAATAAAACATGAGGGAAATAATGATGAACAGTTGCAGAACAGCAGGAAGGAGCAAGAATGAAGCTTTGACCAAAGTAGTTACATGCAAAGAAAATGAACATATAAAATAAACTCATCATTCATCTTTATATAAGTACACTCATATAGCAAAGTCTGCTCTTTCAAAACCAAACAAGAACTACTAAAAGCAGGGAGAAAATTTACCTTGGTAATAAAGACCCTTCTTTAAAAATAACTTTTTATTATGTAACCTGTGAGAAACATGAAGAACTGAAGTTATAGACTGATAAACATTAACCATGTTGTTGCGCTTTCCATGCTTGTTTTAATCCAAAATAATCCAAGAAAGCTTTGAAATTATTGCAAACATTATTTGACAGAATCTCTGTTTAGCATAGAGTAATTCAGATGTGGTCTGAACAGTCTAAATATGTACGTTTTTATGTATAAATGTGGTTCAAACTACTTTAAAAAATATTGAAACAGTTATTTAATTAATCACTGCAATAATTTATCACAATGTTTCCACTGGGCACACCACAGGGAGGCGCCGGTTATCCAAAATTCACATATTTTTTTACGTTTTTGTACTTCCATTTGGGTCTCAACTGATTCTAAAAACAAAGCAAGCACTTAAAAAATACCCGTGTTTGGAAAATTAGCCGTTTCAAAATCCTCCAGATTGCCAAGTCACAAATCAACAGGCACTGCACTGTTACCTAGCAACCCCGGCAGAGTTCCATCTGTTACCTAGAGACCCAAATGGAACTCCAGCATGTTTGGTCAGCTGGTTTTACCTCTGTTTACTTTGTACAATGGCAGCTGGAAAAAGACAAGTGTTTTGTTATTGACTTAAAATCCAGAAACCACCTGCTGCATTCTTGTTGGTTGTACAGGAGGCTCCACTTCTGATTTTCAAAGATGTACGGTTGTACAGCTTCGTATCTGTTTGCAGCCGTTTTCAGGTGCGAGTGTAAATGTTGAGTTGGGGGCTCGAGGCTGGCAGCAACTTACTAGGATTTAAAGTGACAAGAGACCCTAAAACGACTCATTCTGACAAAAATCTCAGTATCTAGGAATGATTCTGTGGAAAAAATATGTTTTGTTTAGGCCATTGAATTATCCTAACTTGTTCAAGGAAGCGTAATAGATCCCACTTAAAATAAGCAACAGAAAAATCGGATTGGGTTGATATTTTCTGCCTCTTGCTGCCCTTCATGTCGTGCCGCCCAGGGCAGAGAGCCATTTCACCCAAAGACAAAATATACTCATCACAAGACATTTCACTTCCAGGTCAGTTCGACTCACACGTAAAGATAAAAAACATAAATAGCAAACCTTTAGTGCTCATAAGCTGTGGTCAGTTTTTAGACTCCTGAAGCACAAATACCACTTCGCATCACTTCCTATCGCCCTGATTTGTTTAACGACTTTAAATGTCACGTCTTCTAGGTCAGCTCCTCTCATTGTTTGCGCTCGGATAGCATTTCCACTTCGTTGTGTTCATTTCATCACTTCTCCCACAGTGAGCTCAGATTGAAAACGTTACCTGATATACCCTCAGGTTAAGATGTTCCTTTGAAAACATGGACTCAATTATGGATTTTTTTATGCTGACTCTTGTGGAGATTTCTTTCATTACATTAAATCTGCATGTAAAAAAAAAAGAAGACCAGGCTTAATTCAGTTCAAGTGACCCACATGTCTTTGTGAATCACAGTTTCCTCCCTTAAATATTCACCATCTTGCGGGAGGTGTGAGCAGCTCCCTCCTCTGAGACCCCCGAACTCGAGCTGCAGAAAATTCCCAGAACGGCGCCGAAGCCTGAGAGGAGACTCATCGCACTTCACGGCGATCCGGGAAAATCTTCAAAGGAAAAAAAAAAAAAAACACTCTGAACGCTGCAGAGATTTCACTCCAGAGCAGCTGGCCTGCTTTTCCAGACACAGAAAAACCCATCAGGCGTCTGAAGACCTGGAGAGCAGCAGATCGCCAACATGGAAATGGAGAAAAAATAAATAGATGCTATGAATTAAACCACTAAAAACGGTTATTAAATTATTACAGAAGCTCATTTTTTAATTCAAATTAAAATTCAAAGCAAAATTAAACGTTGTGACTCATATCAATTGAAAATTCTTCAAAGATCTCCTGTAGCAGTCTGTACTGCAGTAAATTTGAAGAACCCTCTGTCTGTTTTTCTAAGACAGTCTCTTTAATGTACCTGTTGCAATAAATAAATAATAAATAGTCTCAGAAGTTATTGGAATAAAGAATAATATTGGTTTTAAACCATTTTCAAGTAATATGATGGTCTTGGGATTCTGGTGGTGGCAGAATCATGATGTGGAGGACAAGGAAACTGGTCCTAGTTGATGCAAGGATGGAAGGAAACACATTGGAGGCTAAACCTTCCACCAGGACTGAGGTACAAACGACACAAGCAGATGTTAGAAAAGCCAAGATGTTCAAAAGTTCAAAACTTTGGCCAAAACTGTTGACTCAAAAGAAAGAAAAAAAAAGTAGCCTGATATTTATTCCAGGTCTAATACAAGTACATTTTCCCTAAGAACTCAGACATTTTCTGATTAATATCAGAGATGTTCTAGAATAGCATTTGAATTTTAGAAATGTTTAAGTTTCTTTTAGAAAGTTTAATTAATGCCAAAACTTCAAAATGTTTTTACTTGTATCTTTTGACCACTGGAGCTCAGAAAAGTAATTTTTCTAGAAAATTTCTGAGATTACTGAGAATTTTTTTACTACTTCTTTAATTTTGCATGTTTGCTGAATAAAAGAAATATCTAGTTTTCAGTTTATTTTGGGTTTGACTGAATAAATTTATTCTCAGTAATTAGAACGGGATTTGGGTCACTTTCTCTCCAAACATTTGCTGTATTTATCCAAGTTTAAAAAGGAATAAAAGCTGATTTGGTTGCAGCAAAGTTGGCTTTTCAAAGTCTCTGGATAAATTCAGTTGTAACTTTTGTTAAAGTTTTAACAAAAACAAATACTTTATGTTGTACTTTACATTTTTTTGTGTAAGAAAATTATGTTAACATTTTTTTTAATCGTGATTGCAAGTTAAAAGTCTACATCTACAGGCCAAATTTGTATCACTTTTGAATTATAGTTGGGAGCCGCACAAAATTAGTCTAAGGGGCCACAAATGGCCCCTGGACCACACTTTGGACATCCCTGATCGATGTGATGATTTCCATTGTCAGTCTGCAAACAAAAATAAATTAGATTTCCAAACTGGAATTGAATTCAACACCTCATAATTCAGATTTGCCGCTGAAGATATTAAAGTCTTAATTTTCTGTTTCTTTTCATTTCTGCAGCTGCGTTCACTGCAAGACCTGCAGACGGTCCAGATTATAAAGATCCTGCGCTACGAGAAGAAGGTGGCGGCCATGTTCCTACTGATGATTTCCTGTTTCCTGGTGTGCTGGACGCCGTACGCCGTGGTTTCCATGATGGAGGCGTTCGGCAGGAAGGCCATGGTCTCTCCCACCGTGGCCATCATCCCGTCCTTCTTCGCCAAGTCCAGCACGGCGTACAACCCCGTCATCTACGTGTTCATGAGTAGAAAGGTTTGTAGGCGGTCTTTCTCAAACCGCTGGCGGTCCGCGGGCGCCCCCTAGTGGTCCGCAAGGTACTGCACGTAACCACCGTTTATGTCCTGTGACGTCAGCTCAAAGTGCGACGCATACAGCTAGCTACAGCTAGCTTGAAATAATGATGGATAAATGGCTTACAACTGGGTCACTCAAAAGAAAAACTGAAGATATCGATGGAAAGAAAACAGCTGGATTATTTATTATGTGATCAGAGGAAAATGTGTTGTTCAAGAACGATTCGATTCTTTTGAACGGCTCTATGCCGAGAACTGTAGGACTCAAGTTTCAGTTAATGAGAACTGTTCTTTGTCTTTGTTTGCTTATAAAGCTCTGTCACACGTCAAGAACTATTGTCATTTTTAACTAATTAAAAATTATTAAATTAACTTAGTTAAATACAATAGATACATATAACATAAAAACTGGTGAATGATGTTATATTTAAAAAGAGGATTTTACCATGCTAAGTTATGTCTTATTTTAAGTGTACTAAGATATTTACACAAGAAACTGGATGGGAAAATAATGCAAGTTCGTTTTCTGAAATATAAACGTTGTTAAATATCGATGGCTAAACAAGTGAGAACTGGCGTCATCAGAGTTGAGTAGTAAGTAGTTACATTTTAGGAGTCCTTTTACTACGCTGTACTTTTTACTTTTACTTCAGTCATTTTATTATGAAGCATTACTAATCTAATTGGAGTAAAATTTCTGGATTTTCTACCCACTGCAGTTTTTTGTTAAAGTTTCATAATGTTTTTATTGGAAGAAACTGATTTGGGAAGATTCTTTTGTTACTTGTAAGAATTATTGTCATTTTGGTCCTTAAAATATTAAAATTTCCACTTAACTTTATATTTTAGTCGTCTGATGATGCAATTTTTAAATATGAAGTGATTGATAATTTGATGGGTCACTCGGTACGAGTAGACTTTCTACCAAATACTCAAATACTTTTTTACCCCTACTTGAGGAATTTCTTGCTACTTTTTACTTTTACTTGAGTAAAAATATGTTGAAGTATTGCTACTCTTACTTGAGTGTAATTTTTGGCTCTGATCATTGTCATCATATGTTTTCCTCTTCCTGCAGTTCCGGCGTTACTTCCTGCAGCTGCTCTGCTCCCGGCTCTTCCATAAGATCTCCTGGCTGCAGCAGAACCTCAAAGAGCGGCAGCTGACGCCCGCAGAGCGCCCCATCCGTCCCATCGTCGTCTCCAGCGCCTGCGACTCCAGGGACCGGCCCAAGAAGAGGGTCACCTTCAACTCCTCCTCCATCGTCTTCATCATCACCAGCGACAATTTCCAGCAATTTGACGTCACCTCCAAGGCCAGAGATTCCTCGCAGGTGAACGTCATCCAAGTGAGGCCGCTGTGACCTTTGACCTCTTGGTAATGCCTTATGACCAAACATGCAGTTCCACGCCAAGCTAATCCCGCCTGACCTCCTCGGCTGTTTCTGTGTCTGAACGCAGCCCCAGACTTTTTACAACTGACTGTAAATACCCAACAGGAGGCAACATCCTCATTAGACATCAGCTGTGGTGATATTAGGTAATTGCATAGTTGATTAACTAGTTTTATGTCATGCAGTGTGTGGGAGAGTAGCTGCATTTCTGTTACAAATCAGCTCAAAACTTTGTCAACATTCTACACTAATGCCGGAAAAACACAATTTTGCAATTGTGATGTTTAAGTTAAATGAGAAACGGGATTAAAATCACAGCTGAATAAGT